CAGATTGGACGGGAAGGGATCAGTAAAGTATGATTGAATTGAAAACACAAACAACAAGGGATATGCTGGTGAAGATTCACAGTCATCCAGGTCATAGTCATTCCAAAGAAGTTAAAAAAGAATCCACAATATGCAAATTAAACCAGAAGAACGGGTCCGCCCCTTAGGGGAACAAAGCACCCAAAACTATTCCCATTAATAAGGGGCAGAACCATTCTTATGGTTCAAATTGCTTGTTGTCTAAGCCAAAACAAGTTTTTGAGCTGCTATATAAAGCTTTGCACTTGTTAAATGAGGAAGTTATATCCCCTAAAAAGGCAGTTGCGCCTCGGGGCTTCCCCACCGGTTCTTTTCCTGAGAGCAAGTTCTTTACTACTCTTAACTCAGACTGGGTAAAACCATAAAAAGAGGACTATAAAAACAGGAGTAAAAAAGTAATAGATTTTATTCCAGATCAGGTCATTACAGGACAGAGAAAATGCTTGGAGCTTGCACAGCTGTGGGCTCCAAAAATCACGTCCGCGAGCGTCCGGCAAAGATTGAACCCCGAACAACGTCATCTTCTGCTTCTTATAGCTCATGAGTCTATGTTTTGCACCAGGTGGATGCTTAGTTGTCAGTAACTGACATGCCATCCATGCCCAAGGATTACAGATACGTCTCCTCTATCAGTCCGGCTCCAAGATGTGCCCATATCCTGTGTATCTTTAAAAGACAAAAAGCTGTCCTATTTAGATGACCCACTTACGCAAAGTGACATCCACAATGTGTAGGAAGGCCATCTACTCTCTCTATCTGGCTAACAAAGTAACAATGCACATGATGTATAAAAGAATAAACCTAACAAACTCAACGCTAATTATGTCATTTTGAGTTGAAAAAGTTTCCTGGGAAGCTAAATGACTTCACACTTGGAAACAAAGTCCAGTCGTTTGAAACAACAACAACGAAATGAGGTTATGTTTTAGGAGAGTAAAATATAATGTAAACATAATGCACAGTTTAGTTAATCACGGAAAAAAAAAAGATATTAGTAAAAAACCTTTCAGTTGCACAGCATCAATAACCAGAGATACAACTAACAGTAGAACAACTTTTCTAACAGTAGAAAAACTTTGATTCACAGAGGAAACAAAATTTAAATCAGCAGAGCTACTCCAACATTCAGCCACCCTGAGTGGCGCAATCCTACAACATTTCTATATATTTGAGTAAATTCTAGTATCTATATCAAGCAAACAAATAATAGATGTTTTTAAAGTATTAGAAAAGTCTAAATGTTATAATTTAGAAACTAATTACATGAGTAAATCTAATCTGAGATCGTAATGTTTTTCCACTATAGTCCTGTTTCTACAGCTGCTTTTTGTGTCTCTGCTTCTGTCTCCTTGAACCCCAGTCGGCCTCAGCAGATGGCCGCTCACACCGAGCCTGGTTCTGCTGAAGGTTTCTTCCTGTTAAAAGGGAGTTTTTCTTCTCCACTGTCGCTACAAGCATGCTTAGTGTGAGGGATTGAATTCGAGTCAATGAGTCGAAGCAATCAACTGGTTTTCCTTAGATAGAAAACTTTGAATCAATTTGGCTGTATGATCTGGTTGAACTGTAAAGTGCCTTGAGATGACGTGTGTTGTGAATTGGCACTATAGAAATAAACTGAATTGAATTAATTAAAGCTTGATGAAATTTAAGGTAAATATGTTTTAGAAAATGTTCTGCTTTTCTTCTGCTTCAAATGCTAAAAATCATGAAATTAATGCTCTCACTATTTCCCCTCCATTCCATGGAGCACTCCCAGTATTTTATAATGGGATGTATTAACCCTTTATAGAGCAAATTACCGCTTTTGATCACTTGCATACCCCTTACTAATGGTTTTCCTCCCGTTCCTCAGTGAGGTTCAGAAGCAAAAGATCTATATCCAGCAATTCAGCAAAGATACTGCTACATGACTGGACATGTTATTTTGGCATTTGAGCAGTTAGATGAGCCCTTGAATGATATATTACCTACTGTAAATTAAGTTGGGAAAAAAAATGTTAACAAGCCAAGAAAAAAAGGTAAAATGTTCATTAAAAAGTTAAAAAGTCAAGTTAAAATGGTAAAAAGTTAATTAAAAAGTCAAGAAAAAAGGAAAAAGTTCATTAAAAAGTTAAAAAGTCAAGAAAAAAAGGTAAAACGTTCATTAAAAAGTTAAAAAGTCAAGTTAAAATGGTTAAAAAAAATAATTAAAAAGTCAAGAAAAAGGGCAAAAAGTTAAAAAGTCAAGAAAAAAAGGTAAAAAGTGAATCAAAAAAGTAAACTTAAAAGATAATAAGCCTAGTTAACAGTTACATTTAGATTTATAAACTAAAAAATGTAAGTGCCAGTATTAGCGTTAAGGCCTCTAAGGTTATGTTGGACCAAAAAATTGAGTTCCTTTCATTCTCAGAGTTTCTTTCATTAATTTCTTATAGACGCACTTTTGCTATGTTTCTTAATATATTCAGGCAAGTTGGCATTTCCTGTTTTTACATTGATATTCATTTTTGTCATCTAAATATCCATATTTTTTAAATTTTACAAAGTCTTGGCTTGAAGTTTGGATTTTCAAAGTATTTCACTGAGTGCCCTAAAAAGGGTTAAAATGTAGTATTTATTAATAGAGCGATAATTGAAGCAAAACTTAGAAGTTCTGTTGAACCTCAGACCATTTCTGTGTTCAGTTAGATCAACACGTAAATAAATAAATTAATACAAACATGTTTGCATATCCTGAACAATGATCCAACACTTTTCATCATAATAGGAACTGACTGACCATGAGTCACATTAAACAAATGGCCGCGCTTCACTCATTGGCATCTACCGTTAAAAGACATTTAATTTAGAATAGAAAATCTGAAAGTAGTGTCATGTATTCATCAGCTATAATACCTGGATGATCAGCTCCATTTCCTGATAGATTTAAGAGGAAATGAGTTCAAGATGGATTTCAATTTCTAGTTGTCCATTGCTGCAACTTCAGCAGTTATTCTATGGAATTCGATGAAAGATTTCCATTTCCGGAACATGTTCTTTAACTTTTACTCTTCACATTCCTTAAGGTCTGTTAACATGTTTTACCAAAGAACCTGTTCATGCAGTTTTCCTGCTCATCCGGTTTTAATTGCATGGAAGCATGATGATTGTCATACCAGACAGTCCAGCTGAAGGATCCCAGCAATTCAACAAAACAACAAAGTATGTTTACACTACATATAGCATTAGAAATGTGTTTTTCACAGAGTATATTTAGAATAAACAGGAGTTTTATTAGACCTATTTGCATTCTCCAAAGCCCTGAGGGTAAACATGTTTCACTGTAAACACAGAACCTACTGCAGAATTACGTCTTTTATACTTTAAAGCAGTGATTCCCAACCAGAGGTAAGCGTACCCCTAGGAGTCCACGAGTGCACTGCAAGGGGTACATGAACATTTTTCTCTGATAATAAAATAAAATAGAGCTGGGGTCTGTTCTACTTTATGAGGACTCAACTAAATAATAAAACAAGTTTTTTTGTTTGTTTTGTTTTTTAACCAAAAAGTACGTTTTCCTTATATGTCTGAGTTCTCCTTCAGCTTTGACACACATCAAAACCAAGTAGCCCATCAAAACATCAAAACAAGCTAATTTTCTATAATTTGCATGTTTTCTAAACAAAAACAAGGTTTTGATGGGCTACTGTATAAAACCTCAAACGCTATTCCTGACATTTTTTAATTGAAAAACCTTCCTGGATAATAAGCAAAACCTCTTCAAACTTGGAAACAGAGTCTAGTGGATTTTTTTTTTAATTTTCTTTTTTTGGAATGACTATGACCTGGGGCTGCTCAGTGGCCTTGCAGCAGGAAGGTTCTGGGTTTGATTCCCGGCCCAGGGTCTTTCTGCATGGAGTTTGCATGTTCTCCCTGAGCATGCGTGGGTTCTCTCCGGGTACTCCAGCTTCCTCCCACAGTCCAAAAACATGACTGTGATTGTGTGCATGAATGGTTATTTGTTGTGTGTCTCTATGTTGCCCTGCGATGGATTGGTGACCTGTCCAGGGTGTACCCCGCCTCTCGCCCATTGACTGCTGGAGATAGGCACCAGCACCCCTGGCGACCCCACTCGGGACAAGTGTGTCAGATAATGAATGGATAGACTATGATCTGGATGACTGAGAATCTTCACCAGCATCAAAACCAAGCAGAGGACCAGACCGGATGCAGAGAAAAGCCTGAAATCAGCTGTTTTCTCCCACATCTGAGCTCATCAAAGCAGCCCAGGTGTCTTGAATGTTGAAAACAAAGTAAAACAAATGGAGGGAGTCTGACTATATTTTTTGTTCAGTATTTTGTTCCAAATTCCTCAAGTTTAAGTGATTAAAGGGGGGTTACCCAGAGGAGCTGCTGTTATATAAATACAGGTCTATAATATGATTTTATTTTGTATTTATTTTGATTCCTTACTAGCTTAAGGGCAAGATATTTATCTTTTTTTTTTTTTCATTTGAGTTTAAAAGAATAGAATGTCTAAGAATTAAATGCTCAATTTAATGAGATTAAATAAAATACTTTTTATTTTATAATTAGTTATTGGACGTTCCACCTTTGGCAGTCATCAATACTTTTAAATGAGAGGAAAACTCGAGGTAAGACAAAATGTCCAAAGGGGTATACAAGTCAAAAAAGGTTGGGAACCAGGAAGTTTTCAATTCAAAATGTCAAGAATAGCGTTGAATTAATTTTGAATTGAAAAAGCTTCCTGGATGGGAAGCAAAACGTCTTCAAACTTGGAAACAAAGTCCAGTGGATTGTTTTTAATTTTCCTTTTTTGGAATGAATATGACCTGGATGACTGAGAATCTTCACCGGCATATTGCTTTAAAGTATGTACAAAATAATAAAAACAAGACAGTTTTCAGCCGTATCCCAATATCCAATGTAAAAATAAATAAATAAATAAAATAGAACAGAACAGAAACATTTAATGTACTTACCAGCAACTCTAACACGCTGCCTCTTGCAGTCTAAGATGTTGGTAGTGACTAGAAACACGAGTGCAGGTAGAGACTCCTCCTCCTCTGGCTGTAAAATCATAAAGGAGGGGTCGATAATAATAGGCTGCTCACCCTCTTCTCATACCGGTTCTTTTTTTCTTTTTTTTTTACAGTTTTAATTCTTAACTTAGTGCGTCAGCTGTAGAAGCAAAGGTATGGATGAGGAAAATACCTTTGTTCAATGCATTGGCTGTGTGTAGTAACAGATAAACAAACACGGTAGTGAGGAAATATGACAGATCCTGAACACCACAAACTTGTTTGTTTCTGATTATAAAAGAAATGTGGTACTCCTTTTAAAAGTGCAGAACTCTAAATATCTGCTTGCTAAGGCAAACATATCTGCAAGCTTTGGGAATGAAATCAACTTCTCTCCAGCAGAGGAAGCAAACTGCTGGATATCTTCATCAGCATTCAGGCATTCAGCTGTATAGAGCCCCACTAAGGGGCCATTATGTGATGCTGGTGTGTTGTTTTTATATCCTGGCTTGATGAGAAGGCGGGATCTCCTCAGCTCAAAGATTCAGGTAATCTTTTCAAGTCAGGAATCTGGACAAAAGCACTTTACACTACAGTCACTCACCCGTTCACGCACACCCTGATGGTGGTAAGCTGCATTGTAGCCACAGCTGCCCTGGGGCTCACTGACAGAGGCAGGCATGGTTGATTTTCATCCAACCGTATGATTCCAGATCAGAAAGTGGTGGTTAGAGGATAATCAGCCCTTTTTACAATGGAGTTATTTTTGCGTTGTTATTAAGTAAAAGAAAAATTGCTATTTGAAAGGGGAAAATAATTTAGAAAGTGAAATACATTTATTAGAGAAAGCATTTTCACACTGTTAACAAAAACTGATGTTATCTGAGAACAAAGAAAAGGTTTTGAGAGAAAATATTTTGACATAAAAAAAATAAACAAAAGATCATTTTTTCTCTCAAAAATTCGGACCCGTCACAGACCCGTCCATTTTTCACATGAAGAGAAAAATCATGAATCGAGAGCAAAGACTTTGAGAGAAAATGTTTCCACTGATTGCAAAAAACAACAACAAACAAATAATAAAAAAACAAAGCAATATCTGAGGTTAAAAATTTATTTCAGTGAGAACTTTTTCCCCTGGAAATCATTTTCCAAATTTCATTTTATCTTTGATTTATTCTATGGCCAAATAGCTTCTCCCAAAACCTTTTCTTCAGTCTCAAACATCCCTATTTGCTATCAGTGTGAAAATTTCTTCTCTCCAATATTTTTATTTTACATCCAATGTTTTCCCTTTTTAGATTCCCAGTTCTCTTCAATTTAATAAAAACACAATAATAACTCCATATCTTACCTCCTGTACCTTAAATGACAAAAGATGCAGGATAAAGCTTAAACTCTGATCGATCCAAACAAACCTTGCATGACTAAACATTCCCTGAAAGATTCTTAGGCTTTTCCTCCAGCTCTTTGGGTCCAGCTTTGTCATGTTTTTGTATAAAGAACTCAAATACGGAGAAGAACAGAAATGTGCTAGAATGATTTACTAAGACAGAATAAGAAAAACAAAATCCTACAGGGTCTGGCACAAAGAGGAGGGACTGTCAGCACTGGAAGGATGGAGAACAAGAGAGAGCAGAAAGCGAAAGGATCAATGGAGAGAGGACAGGTGAGGCGCCTCAGACTGGAAGAAGGTGAGAAGAGTAGTAATAACAGCAGAGAGGATCATTGGGGCTCCTCTTATCTCCATTAAAGACATTTCATCCCAGCGCTGCGTGTCCCGAGCCTGTGACATCATCAGTGACCCCTCGCGCTCCCTGCTGCCCTCTGGGAAGAGGCTTTGCAGCATTCGATGCAGGTTCAGCAGGTTCTGCAACAGCTTTTTTTACCTGCTGGCATCAGAAAGTTCAACAGTTGAACTCCAAACTGGACTCTGTATCACATCATTTTGCACTACAAATGTTGCTGGACTTTCATAATCCTTTTAAACAGAACATAACTCAATGTTTCTGACGCATTTTGCACCATGTTTATTTTTTGCACTGCACTGAACCCTCTCATATGAATGCCTTTTAGCATTATTATTTTTAAACTGGTTTGTTTTTTTCTCCTACATTGTTTGCATTCTGATCACTGCTGCACTTTATAATGGAGATGTTTATCTTTTCCAACTGCAATATCATCACACTATTGTATACGTAAGAGGATTAGGGACACTGAAAAAAAAAAGAAAGTTAACTGATTTAAAAATTTTATTTCAGTTTATTATGGGAGAAAAGTCTGAATTCTGACTTTAATCTCAGAATTCAGACTTTTTTCTCAGAATTCTGACTTTTTTCTCAGAATTCTGACTTTTTTCTCAGAATTCTGACTTTAATCTCTGAGATTTTTTTTCTCAGAATTCTGACTTTAATCTCTGAGACTATTTTCTCAGAATTCTGACAGTAAAAAAGTCAGAATTCTTAGATTAAAGTCAGAATTCTGACTTTTTTCCCATACTAAACTGAAATAAAATTTTAAAATCAGTAAACTTTTTTTTCCCAGTGGCCTTAATCCTCTTCTGTAGTTGTAAGCTGTATGCAACGAAATTTCTAAAGTTTGTCTAAGTCTAAGGTTTATTAGGTAACAAATTGGGAGAATACACAGGAGACAAACAGAGCGAGACACAGAGAAGAAAGCTAACAGGCAATAATACAAAATGGACAAAAGAATAAACTAAACCTAATCACCTAGGAAACATTCTGAAGAGATAAAATATAACTCGTATTAAAGAACTATCAATACGACCAAGAACAGAAAGAGATGATAAAACATCTGGAACATCAGAACGTGGGAGCGACATAATGCGACGACTAATGCTACGTTCAGACCGTAAGCAGCAGGGGCAGCAGGAGCAGCTAGTTTACATGCAAAGTCAATGGTTGGCGTGCATGAAGGCGCAGCTAAAGGTCCCACGGCGCGTTTTGAGC